GGCTGCTGGACCTTTTTTCACCAAGACGTGGGGGGGGTGCCCTGGCTGGCAACCCTTGGGGAAATTCCTTTTTTTGGAAAAGGGAGGGGGAAAAACAAAGGGGGGGGGGGGGGGTCGCGCGGAAGTTGCTGAAAGGGCGTGGGTGGGTGTGCGCGAAAAAGTTACGGGGGGCAAGGCTTTTATTTTTGGAGTGGTCGCGCAGGAACGAGTAGGAGTGCTCCCGCTCGCCCGATTCGCACGCATCATTGTACCATGCTATCGACCAATTTACCGCTCTCTCTCTCTCACACACACCTGTTGGGCTACTAGGCTTACCCTACGTTTGCGTGGGTTGGCCCTCCCCTGTCTGCCGAAAAAAGTTCGGGCGTCAGGGAATTGTCTATCGCGTACGTACCAAGCTGCCTTTTTTAACAACATGGGGGGAAGTTATCTGACCAATGGGTGATGAACGTCGATGAAAACCTCCGTTCATGTGTAGTAGAAACACCTTGCTTTGGTCTGGGGGATGCCACAGTTTGGGTGTAGTGATGGATACGTCGTACTTCCGTGTATTGTTAAAAGAATCACACCTGCATTTACTTCTTCTCGGTAAAATTGGATTTTTTTTTTTTTTGTGGTTCAATTGTTGTCCTCGTATCTTGTACAAGAAGCTTTTTTGCGGTATCCCCCCCCCCCCCCCTCCCCCTGTTTTCCTAGTGCGTTTACGAATTGTTATCATTGAGTTTGTTAAGTTTCATTCGAGTGGCGAGAGGGGATGCTTGACAGGAAGGGGGTAGGGAGGTAGGGAGGGAGTTTCGCCGTTGAAATAGAGAACCCTCACGGGAGGCGTCGAAAATTAGGCAAGGTATGCATAATAGGTAGACAGCACAAAAAGCAGCGCACGCGCCCCGATATCAGGAGGTCTGCGACTGTTTACCAAGTGCCATGGCATGCCACCTCGGGCGTACGCTAACAAGTGCCTGCTCTAGCTTGCTATTGTCGGGTCTGCGCGGTGTGTGCGTGTGTGTGTTTGTAACCCCGCACGTGTGTACTATTGTGGCAGACACCAAGAAGAGTTGGCGGCCAGAAGCGTACGGGGGGGGGTAGAAAGAGATGACAAGCACGTAAAAAAAGGAATGGTGTTAACTCGGGTACCAGCATGATCGAGGGGCTCGGTTGAGGGACTTTTTGTGGGCGGACGGTGAAGGCGTGGGAGTCAAGCCTGTCTCTGCGGGCAGGGGGGAAGGGCGTGGTGCCTGCTCTGCGGGTGGTGCGCGACAAGTGCGGGCGTTATAACATGTCTTGCGGTGGAAGACTGCCCGTGGTGTTCCCCCCCCCATGTATTTTGCTGCTGCGCCGTCTGGACGGTAAATCGACCCTGAATATTCTGAACCCGCCCCTTTCAGGAGGTTCAGTTTCTGTTGCAACTTGAAAAAAAATGGCGAACTAAACAATGCTTTGGACTTGAAGTCTTGGGGATGCTACCCCAAACCCTTTTCTCTCTCTTGACGCCCAGGTTTGTGGGATTTTGACGGGGGCCATTTTTGTGCCCCCTCCTCTGAAACCTTGTCGACCGTGCGACGTCCTCTTGATTTCTCTATCTGTTCGGCCATCAAGTGGGCACAGCAGAAGCGCAGCTGCTGCCAAGCGTGCACCGCCTTCTTGCAAAGTACGGGACCCCCCAAGTCTTTCGTCGGGTTCAGAGAAAAACTGCGGCTCCTTTCCGGTATTGATTTACAACCAGAGGTTACTTCTTCGATTTTGCAAACACCGCCGTCTACGACACGACACAACTTAATGGTTAAAAGCACTAATTTGACATTTTTGAAATGCTCCATCGCCCATGTCTGCACGGGGCGATCGTAAAAATTGGCAGGACCCCAAGCTCCACAACGCACGTTTTTCATCTAAAGCAGTGTGTGTGTGTGATCAAACGAACAAGAAAACGCCAAAAAAACAATAAAAATCTAGCCCATTCGAAGAATTTTCCTTCCCGGGGGCGCCAACGACCGACATCGCAACCAAGTCACCATGGCCCACAAAAGCAAATACAATCCCCCCGCATCACATTTGGGATTCAATCGAAAGTGGGAATCTATGCTCGCAATAAACAAAGCACTACACTACTCGAAGAATGAAACGTTAAAGAGAGTGGCGCCGTAACAGGTGGTACCGCTATTAGTACTAGACATAACTGCTACTGCTGTACAGCACTAAAGTCATCCAGCCCTTGCTTCAGTTCTCCATGCTGTGTCCACATGCTGAAAGAGTCAAAAGCAGCTAGAGCAAGAAACCCGTCATGACTCTTGTCCTTTTTTTCAGCTGTTCGGTGGGGATTTCCGCTTGCGAAAGCAGCTTGCGGTGCGCCTCTGTCGCCATTAGACCAGTCAGCCGAACAAAGCGCCAAGATTACAAAGGTGCACTACACAGACGACCACATCAAAAAGGAAAAGCGGAAAGAAAGGTGGAACCCAAGTCTACTACCTGTGCATACGCGACACCACATACATACCACGTCTTCCCCCGCCCAAAGTTTTCCAGTCCACCCAGAGTTTTCCAGTCCACCCCACACGGACGAGGGAGGGCAACATCACAACTACGACGACAACGACAACGACATCACGTGAGCCGCAAATAGAGGGCACGAACACAAAGCAAAAGTGACCCCAACTTCCGGAGGGTGGGTGTGTAAAGGAAGCAACAGACCTGCCCCGCTCCTTGTCTGGTCCACTTGCGTCGAGATGTAGAGTGGAGACATCAGCTGGGAGAGAGCCCGCCCGCACTGACCGGACTAAGCTACGGCCGCACACACAAGAGTGGAAAAAAACACACTCAGGAACACGCACTCTTCGCGAAAAGTGAAGGTTGTTCCTCTTCTGCGACTACGTCTCCCCCTAATCCTTCCTCGCGCTGGGTTTCACTTCAACCCAACCCTGACTCTCACGGCTCTTCTAGCAAAAACACTATAACACGCCTACGTTCGTCGGCGACTCCAGCCGGACTCGACAAAAAAGTCATCCCATTTCCTGTGCGAACTCCCCTTTTTCCCTCAGGCCCGTGCCATGCATATCACAACACCACCGCTGATCGATTCGCGCCACAGCCGAAGCAACGATTCTCTCTGCGCGCCACACGCACCCCGAGTCGAGTCGGCTACCTGGCGTAAGAGTGTGTTTCTAGAGAAACACGAGCCATAAATCAGTACCGTTACTGTTAAGACGAGCGAATTTCACCCCGACGACGCCGAAGAGGCCGGACATGACAACCGCAACACACGTGCACACAACACGCCAACATGATCGCCGTGCCACGCCCTACGTTCTCGCGACGACGAGAGCACGGTATTCCAACAACCCCCCCCCTCCCTTCCCCTATCCTCCTCGATGAGCCAAGACGATAATCTTATGATGCAACTCCTTCCTGGCCGCTACCACCGGCATGCAACAAAGAAAGAGAAACCGCCTCATACCAGGCTAGCCAACAAACCCGACTTTTCTACTAATCAGGCGGGGGGGGAGAATCGCAAGCCCCCACAGATCCGCAAGCATCGACAAGATACCTGCCCCCACCCCGGGAAGGGGGGGGGGGGGGGGGGAAAAAAAACCCCCCTTCCGTTTTTGAAACCCCGGGTTTTTTCCCAACCCCAAGGGGAAGGGCCCCCAGCCCCCCCCTCGGGGTCGGGGGGGAAATTGTAATCCTAACTCACCCCCCCCCCCAT